AAGTTTTCTGTTACCAAGTCTCTGACTGGAATTCTAATCAGGCACATGTTATTTATTTTCACGCCATCCCATATAACTCTTAGGTTTTCTTCATTTCTCTTAAATATTTGTTCTGATTTTTCCTGATGCAAGGTGCTGTCAAGGGATTTGTCTTCTAGCTGGGAAATGCATTCTTCATCTAGTTCTAGTCTGTTATTTTGTCCTTCCAATGTGTTATCTATCTCTGTAATTTTAGTATTCATCTTCTGGATTTCTAATTCCTGTTTTTGTATGATTTCTAATTGGCTATTTATTTTGTCATTTTGCTCTTGAATGATTTTCCTGAATTCTTCAAGGGTATTGGCATATCTTTTTAATCCTATTACTTGTTCTTCCTCAGGGAGATTTCCTAATTCTTTAGTCTGGACATTTGTTTCTACTATCTTGTCCTGTTTTTTAGGGGTTTTTGTTTTGTTTTGAATTTAAGTTGTCTGTTGCCTTCAAGAAAATTTGTAGTTTTTGTCTTTATTTGTTGGTTATGTGCTGCTTTGCTTCACTGTAGCTTTTTGTTATACTTTGTTTTAATGTATCTGGAAGTGTGGAGTAGGTGTGCTTCTTTGGTTGTTAGCTTGGGTCGCTCTTTAGCTTTCTCTGTGTTGGTGGAATAATTGGTAGGAATATGAGTGCAGGTCTCTGTCATGAAGAGGAGTTACAGCTGGGATGAGCAGGTGTTGTCCACCATCTGTTGTTGATCTTGTGATGTAGGAGTTGTTGGTGTTACTCGTCTGTTGGGTGAGGTGGTCAGTGTAGTAGATATGGCTGAATAGTAAAGAATTAAAATGTGTCTTCCATTGGATGAAGCAGAAGAAAAAGAAATAAAGAAATCCATGGGAAAGATGCAAGATAGAATAAATGGTTAAAAAATGTAAAAAGGAAAAATAAAACAAGAAAAAAAACCAAGGATGGGGGTTAGAGAGATAAAGGTTTGATAGAAATGACAAAAGAGGTAGAAGGGTAAATGATTAGATAGAAAGGAAGAAATTTTTGGTAGAAGGAAAGTAAACAATAAAGAGATGATAAAGTAATTGAGGAAAGACTTTTCTAGTTATGGTCAGCCACCAGCCCTGGGAGCAGGCAGTTGTGACATAATCTACACACCTGTGCAGGTGAAAGGCAATTGGCCTAACATGTCACCTTTAGGAGCGAAGGCTAGAGCTTGTTTTTCTGTGCTTAGTGTGAGATAGATCAGCCAGTGATGCAGGTATTGAAGAAGGACAGATGCAGCCCCTGGGTCTGTTTGGAGCAGTTTTCTATCTTCATGCTAATTACACATTAACTTGAGTACTGGATATTGTTGAGATAAGTCCTCCAATCTTTTTCTTTTTTTAATTAAGAGAGTCCTTGCTATCAGAAGGGCAGCATTTGCCCAGGAAGAAAGGTAGGAAGGTAGGAACAGATAGGCAAGAAGGACACAAAGGAAGGGTAGCCACAGGGAGGAAGTGGGAAGTGAGATGTTACTCTGTAAAGAATGTAACCAGTGTCGCAAAACAAAATGTGTATGAACTGTTTAATGTAAAATTAATCTGCTGGTGGGTTTGAACTGCCAGCCTTCTGGTTAGCAGTCACACGCCTTAGGCACTGATATATTTGTATTTATATATGCATCATTTTGTCCAATTCTTTTCCATGTTGATCATCTGTTCTACATTCCCTTCCTTCACTTGTCTTCTTTTAGATTGTATTATTATTCAATTGTATTCTTTTTCAATTGGCTTCTTTTAGATTATATTATTTCTGAGGGCTGCCATACAAATTATCACAAACTTGAGACTTAAAAAAACAACAGAAATTTATTCTCTCATAGTTTTGGAGGCCAAAAGTCAAAATCAAGTTATAGGAGAGTCAATCTCCCTTCAAAGGCTTAGGAGAGAATCCTTCCATGTCATTTTGAGATTTTGGTGTCTCCAGGCAGTCTTTGACTCATGGCAGCATCACTTCAATATCTGCCTCTGTCTTCATATGGTCTTCTCTTTTTTCTCTCTTCTTCTTCTGTAAGGACACTTAACACCCAATTTAGAATCCATTCTAATACAGGATGATCAAATTGCAAGATCATTAGCTTAATCACATCTGTAAATATCCTTTTCTTCCCCAATAAGGTCACATTTACAGAGTCTAGGAGAATTTATCTCTTGTAAGACCATGATTCAACCCTTACCATTCTTACTAAATTACTTCTTCTTCTTTTCTTTTTTTTTTTAATCACCATGAGCTTAATTATAGTTGTTGGGTTTTTCTTTGGGGGGGGGCACTTTTTTTTTTTCACTATTCTTAGATTGCTATGGTAAGAATTACAACATCTTTCTTGACCTTTTAAATTTAACATTAATTGGTAGTTACTTCTTTTAATAAAATGCACAGAAAATTAGGAATCTTAAGACTCTACACTTAATATAGTTTAACTTTGAAATGCTCTTATAGTAACCATGAGAAAACTTGACCTAAATGGTCTTGATTAAATAAATTTACTCAGAAAGGGTAAAATCGGTAGTGTATTTTATTTCGGTACTTTAAAGATATTGCAACTTTAATTTCCAGTGTCTGTTAAGAAGTCAATTGCCATTGTAGTGGTTGCCCCTTTGAAGGTAAACTGCCTTTTACTATTGTTCTTTTACTATCCTAAGTTTCTCTTTGATGTTGGTTTTTGGAAAGTTAATTGAGGGATTTATATGTATAGACTTCTTTCCATTTATGCTGTTGCTTGTAGGACTCAAAGAAATTGTGGTTTGTTGCCATTCATCAGTTTTTTTAATTGTCAGATATTATCTGTTCGTATGTTGTTTGGGTCAATTTCTCCCTCTCATTCTGGAAGTCCAATAATATGTATATTAGACTTTCACATCTATCTCCTATGTGTATTACATTTTTTCCTACATTTTCCATTTTTGTCTCTCTATGCTTCTTTTCTGAATATTTTAATGTGATATATTTTATTGTTCAATGGTTCCCTTCTCAGCTAAGTGAAATCTGCAATGTATCCATTGAAATCTTATTTTATGGTGTTAATAATTTTAGTTATAGCATTTCTATTTCATAATTTCCTATTATCTGCTGAAATTTTCCATCAGATTTTCTATTTTCTTGTACATGGTAAGAAGAATTGTATTTTTAAAATATCTCTCTAGTACCTGGAATTCTTATGGATCTATATCTACTGTATATTGTTTCTGTATTTTTTTTTTTTGTAGTTGTTGTTGTTTCCATGTTGTCTGGACTCACTTTATAGCTGGTAACTTTTTACTGTATACCAGAAAGATTTTTGCCAAATTTTTGTAGGCTTAGGATAATGTAATATTCTTCCAGACAGAAATTACATTTGTTCTGCCAGTAATCATGCAATTCTGAATCTCGTAAATCCAAATATAGGAATTGGGATGATTAAAACTGAACTGTAAACTTGGTGAGTACTTTTGTACCTCTAGTCACACTTATTACTAGGTTGCTGTCATATGGACTCCTCATAGGTGAATTTAGTAGGTACCTTCCCCTGGAGGGATGTGGACTTCAATCAGTTTCCAAAAAGCCATATGAGGCTGCCCAGAGCATTCTCAGGCTTTCAGATCACACTTCTGGAAGTGGCAACCCTCCAGCAGAAAAGCTTTCCCCGTATCAAATCCCCTAACCTCTGGATCACAACCCTGGATTCCCATTCTCCACCTGGCACAACATCTCTTCACTATATCATTAGCTCTCTGATGTGTTCAAGCAGAAAGAGAAAGAGAGACTGAGAAAGACAGTGTGTGCATGTACTCCTTTTCTGGTTGCCATAGCAGGAGATTTGGTCTAGATTACCTAGTCCATTGCTACCAAAAACAAAAATCTGTTTATAGTATGTTTTTATTCTTAATTTTATAAATCTGTATGTTCTTTCTCTTTTTCCTTCAGTATTCACATCAGAGATTTACCAGTGTGTAAAAGTCTTCTGAAAGAATCAATGTTCAGTATTGCTAATGTCATTGATTTTATGTTTTCTTCCTCATTGGTTGCTACTCTTAATTCTTTACTTTTTCTTCTACCTCTTTGCATTTATTTTGCTTCTTATATGCCTATTTTTATAGTACATTCTTTTGTGGTCTGGCCTAGGAGTAAGTGTATTTTATCATGGTCCCTGCATCTGGTGAGTACCATTTTGTGACAGGTGTTACTTCTGCTAGTCTACTGAAAACTGAGCTTGTTTCCCCAGATGTCAACTTTGGCACAGGGAAGAAGCATCCCTAAGTGTCTGCTTACTTCTGTGAACTCAGATTCAGATGCTCTCCATGATGTCCTCACAATAGAAGTATTTCATTGATGCTTTAGAGACTATTTTCCAAAAAGTCTTAGGATTTTTAATGCTCTTCATTAAATGGGTAGTTCTATAATTCCAGGATGCTGTTACAAGAAGTAAAGATCCTTAGTGGCTCAGGGGTTAAGCAGTGGGCTGCTAACTGAAAGACCAGTGGTTTGAACCCACCAACCTCTCTACAGGAGAAAGATGTGGCACTTTGTTTCCATAAAAATTACAGTCTTGGAAGCCCTATGGAACACTTCTACTGTGTCCTACAGGGTTTTTATGAGCCAAAATCAGCTTTACGGCAAGGGGTTTTGATATTTGTTTTTGGTTTTACAAGATTTATTTGTTCTTTTTCAAAAACTATCCCTGACATAAACAATACCTACGACCCTACCAGATGTTTCAGACAGGTGACAATGGCCAAAAGGATCCTAGAGTATATAGGTTTCAAGGCAACAGCCTGATATCTGAAAAAAGCTTTTAAATTATATTTCTGAAAATTGGCTCGTGTTAATCATTTAGCTTTTCCTAAAATAGGACTTTACTGCATCAGAACTTCTCCTTCGGGTAAAGAAAAAAAAATAAAATAAAATCATTACCAGCTAGAAAATCAGAGAAAGCTGGGGGTTTTGTTACAATGGCTGATTGATTAACCCTCCTCCCTCTTCCCTTTTGTGCTTCTTCTCAGGGAACACCTGTCACAGATGTCTTATACAACCATGTGTATCAAGGAGTGCCTCCGCCTCTACTCACCAGCAGTATTCATATCCAGGTTGCTCAGTGAACCTATCACCTTTCCAGATGGACGCTCCTTACCTGCAGGTCTTGACATGTCCTACATGCTTTCATTTGTCTGCTAATCATTTGTTCTTAGAATGTGTGGAGGCTAGGGCTATAGGATTTCTAGTATTTCAGAGAGAAAAAAGGAGGAGTGTCTCAGAACTGCCGAAATAGTCACAGGACTATCAAAGTGCTGGGGGGATAGAATTCTGCATAGGTACTGAGAGATGAGAGAGGGAGTCTTTATGAAACTTCATAACTTCAGTGCTGGACCTTGAAAGACTAGTTATATTTGCATTAGCAAAAGTGAGTTTGCTGTTGTTGTTAGGTGCCGTCATCTCCGACTCATAGCGACCCCATGTACAGCAGAACGAAACACTGCCTGATCCCACGCCAGCTCCACAATCCCTGCTATACTTTGCCCATCATCGCAGCCACCATGTCAATCCATCTTGTTGAAGGCCTTGCCTTCTTTCATCGACCCTCCACCTTACCAAGCATGACATCCTTCTCCAGGGAATGGTCCCTTCTGACAACATGACCAAAATAGGTGAGACGAAGTCTGGCCAGTCTTGCTTCCAAGGAGCATTCTGCCTGCACTTCCTCCAGGACAGATCTATTAGTTCTTTTAGCAGTCCATGGTACTTTCAGCATTCTTCGCCAGCACCACAACTCAAAAGCATCAACTTTTCTTCAGTCTTCCTTATTCATTGTCCAGCTCTCACATGCATACAAGGCTATTGGAAATATCATGGCTTGTGTCAGGCGCACCTTAGTCCCCAAGGAGACATCCTTGCTCCTCAGCACTTGAAACAGTTCCTTTGTGGTTGACTTTCCCAATGCTACATGTCGTCTAAAGTCCTGACTGCTGCTTCCATTGGCATCAATTGTAGAATCAAGCAACATGAATTCTTTGACAACCTTAATCTTCTCTCCATTTATTGTGATGCTGCTCATTGGTCCAGTTGTGAGGATTTTTGTTTTCTTTATATTGAGACATAATCCATACTACATACTGTACTCCTCAACCTTCATCAGTAAGTGCCTCAAGTCATCCTCACTTTCAGCTAGCAAAGTTGTATCATCTGCATATCTCAGATTGTTAATGATACCTTATGAATAGCAAAAGTGAGGGAGGGTACATTATAGGCAGAGAGAAAAATGGACATAACAGCATTCCTCTCCACTTTATACTTATCACCAATGTGTCATAGGAGTATTTCCAGTCATCTTCCAGACTTCCAGGCATCAGGGGAGCTGTGGGAGGTACACCTGGAGCCATGATGTAGCCAGATCATGGAGTTCCCTAAAGGATGAGTTTAATATGTTCAGCTTTTCATAGTCAAGCATCAAACTGGTATTGAAGATATGTAGGTTGAGAATGTATCAGAATTCTTTTCAGAAAAATTAATCTATTGGTGACATACACATGGATTGGAAAAGACATTGTTGTTGTTCTGTGCCGTCGAGTCAGACCTGACTCATAGCGACCCCTCCTTGGGTTTCCGAGGCAGTATCACTACGGAAATAGATTGCCCCATCTTCCTTCCAAGGAAAAGACATTAGAGACATGTAAAAAAGTAAGCCAGATTTAATCTTTGACATACTGTGAGAGATTTTTCTACAGCTTCCTCCAATCTTAACTATTTTCATGCTTGATTAGGTTGGGCAATTTTAGGAGTTCAATTCAATATACTACAATTAGCAGCATTTAATTGCTGTTGTGCTACTATGTATTGCTATAGTTTCCTAACAGAGATTAAATGTTTGTTTCCTAAAAAATCAGCTTCACTACTATAACAAAACGAAAAAATATATATAGCATTTACTATGTGCTAAGTACTGTTCTAGGAGCTCTGGTGACACAGTGCCTAAGGCATTTGACTACTAACCAGAAGGCTGGTGGGTATGAACCACCAGAAGGAAGGTTGAGCAATCTACTTCCGTAGTGATACCACCTGGGAAACCCAAAGAGGGATCGCATCAGATCCGACTCGACAGCAGTGCATTGTGTTGTTGCAAGCACTGTTCTGTGTGCTTTGCATATACTAACTTATTTAATCCTCCAAACAATCCTACTGGCTATATACTAGTAGAATCCATATTTTAGACAAAATTAAACAAAAAGAGGTTAAGTTTTACTGCTGATAAATAATGAGTCCGGGATTTGAACCCAAGTATTTGGGGTTCAAGGTCTATCTTCTTAACCACTATATTGAAGCAACAATTTAAACTTTCCTGGAATCTCTTCGATTACTTGTTCACAAGTTTCTCTGCTGCCACGTAGTATATGGAAAAGTATTCTTACCTGTTTAATTCAATGTTATTTTTTCATATAGAAATCACTAGACTATTCATTACCTCTATAACATTCCATCTACCAAGTTGCTCAAACTAGATACCTCAAAGTCATCTTTACTGCCTTTTCCTTACCTTTCTATTTCAATTATACCTAACTTCAGTCAATTAGCTTTAGTTTTTCAGTATCAATAAAGTGAAATTTATTGGTGCTTCCAGCACAAAAGTAATTATTTGATGCATTACTATGCACCTCTCCTGAGACCTATGATCCATGGGACCTTATTTTGCCCACCTCAAAACTACCCATTCAAAATATGGGATCACAAAGCTTTTCTATTTTTGTTATCCTAGTTCTTTCTGTTTCATATTTCTTATACTTTCTTGAACTGATCTTTCACATTTACTATACCACTGTGAATAATTCTTTGTTTCCTACCAATCTGTTGAAATCCTAATGGATTCTATGGAAGAACTGTCTTCACATTGGCTGTCTCACTGTGTTTGCTGTTTATATGTCATCTCTGAAAATCTTCCAAGTCTGCACCTTGATCTATCTCAACCCACAATGGAGGGGACAGAAAGTGCACCTCACACACTATGGCCAAACTCTCTTACCTTCTAAGAATATCAGGCCTTCACCTGACAAGTGCTCATCCTTGTCCACTTTTCTCCTTCCCCACTTTCCTTCCTGTCTACCTTATACTCCATGTCATAAACACCAATACTCCAAAATTTCATTTTCTTCCCTCTCTAGCCCGAATGGCTGGATTTATCACTACTACATCCTCTTGGCAGTACTCTCAACTCCTGGAATATTTCCCCTCTCACTTCTCTCACTCGCCAGTAATTCAACCAGCATTTACTTCTTCCACACACCTTCTCTTCCCTACTAATGGGTCCTTGAATTCAGCAATCAAAGCATTGTACAAACGAGTGGCTGTCATTCTCCAACCCCACTTATTCCTCTGTACTATCCAAAAATCCTATTTAACCTTCATTTAAAAAAAAAAAAAAAACCTGCTGTCGAGTCAGATCCAACTCAAAACAACCCCTCCTTGGGTTTCTGAGGCGGGATCACTATGGAAGTAGATTGCCCAATCTTCATTAGACATTATAAATTTGGAGAAGATAACTTGTTAAAGAAAATATGATATTTCATTTTAAAAAAGAAATACCTTATGTTGTCTGCTTTTTTTCCTCACATCCCACAATATCTGTTACAACTTTTTATCATTTTCCACTTGTTACTGAACTATCTATCTCCCCATTCACTCTCAGCAAAACACCTTCCTGCTAATCTCAGAAAATAGAACTTACCAGCAACAAATATCTTCAACTTAGAGCTCATTGCCCAATCTTTAGCTTCCTTATTCTTGTTATAATGGTCAGATGTGAGCCCAATCTTTAGCTTCCTTGTTCTTGTTATAATGGTCAGATGTGACAACACAGCACCTCTAACTCAGTCCAATCCCTATACTTATATTCTGAGACCCTTACTCTGTCTTCTTCTTAAGTATCTTGCTTGTTACGTTATAATAAGATGTCCTTCTTTTCATTCATTTTCTTTTTTTTTTTTTTTT